GCACGCTGGATGGGGCCTTGAAGAGCTGTTCGCTCCCTTTTCAGATTGGCCCTCAAATTCCTGGTGGGTCAGAGCACCCTCTCCCTAACGTTTCTGCTACCCAAACAAAGATAAAAGCTCTCATGGTGTTTTCTTACTATTGCAGAATTAATGAAATCCTTTCCAAGCTCTGTAGTTTAATGTTAACCCTTCAGCTTTCTTCTTTCTGCCTGATCTGCATATCCTTGCCTGTTCTCAGTGCTGTTTTGTCATCTAATCTGAGGGACCCATCTAAAGGCCATGTACGTACTTAACAGAGTAGAATGATGCCTGCCACCTTCATGGGTTTTGACTAAGATGCCCCCCTGAACTTGGCAGTGCTCTCTGAGGCAGGGAATGGTGTCCAGGTTGCCCTTCCAGGGCCAGGAAGGATGGGAAGGCATGGTGGCCAGCAGGGTGAGCTGCTTTTGAGACACAGCTTTGTGTGACCCCTGTGTGACCTGGAGTGGGTGCGAGAAACCTGACCTCTGGTACAAGGCTCAACCAGAGGAACAGAACTAGGTGGAAATAGATAGGAAGAGATTTTCTGCAAGAAACTGGCTTATGGGGACAGGTTGGGCCAATCTGAATCTGTAGGAAGGGCAGCTGGAAGTCCCATGGGGTAAAGCTGCCATCCACAGGCAGAATGTGTTTGTCTTCCTCAAGGAAGCCTCAGCTCTGTTTTAAGGCCTTGCAGCTGTTTGGGTCAGGCCCACCTAGATTATCTGGAATAATCTCTCTTACTTAAAGTCAACTGACTGTGGATGTCAATCTCACCTACAAAATACCTTGACAGCAACGCTCAGATCACTGCTGATAGACTACCTGGGAATGGTAGCCTAGCAACACTGGCACAGCAAACTGACCTTCACACCCTCTTTCAGGGAGGGACTATCAATACTCTCTATGGCCAGCTGATGACCCCCAGGATTCAGTGTGCCACTTCTCTCCAGTCTTGATCTTTCTCTTTCCTTCACCACCTGAAGTGACTGATCTGAGCAGCACTACTTTCTTTTCCTCCAGGAAAATTACAAGAATCTAAAGGCTTCTGAAAACCCCTGGAAAGATCTCACATCCCAACAGCACATTTCCAGCAGAGCTTGCAGAGGGGTCTCAGGGCTACTCCTGTACTCTGTGTGCACAGACTGCTGTGGCCATACTCCCTTTTTTCATAGGCCAAATGCCTCAGTTAAGTCTTAATTACGTGCTATTTAATTCTCATAACCTTCAGTAATTTCTCTGTTTATTGACATAGTCTATCAAGCTTGTAAGAATAGCTTTTAAGCCTTCTCCATTAAGGTGTTAGGAGAAAAGTAATTTTAACAAAGAGGATTTTTGTTGTGGTTTTCAAGGATTCACTTAGTTCTGTTTTTTAATTGACAGATGGTTTCTAAGTTTATGAGAATCTCTGTGAAATAAAATATGAGAAGAAAGAGTATAGACTGTCATTATAGGCTATTTCTCTTTCAGTCTTTTTAGAACAAACCTCAGCCCTTCCCTGAAATTCACCAGGTCAGGTGAATAATAAAGAGGTCAAGTGAGACCAAAGAATGATTTAACAATAATTGCATTATGATATACAGTAATGATGCATAGTATTATTACTTACAAAAGCCAACATACAGCATCTACTCTACTCAGGCACTTTATGCTTGTTTGATGCTTATTACAAGAGCACACTTTACAGATGACAAAACTAAGGCACAGAACTCCTAGATGGCTGAACCAAGGTCACAAGTTCATAAGCACTAAGGGATGGGATTTGAACCCAGACTGCCTGGTTCTAGCCTCTAGGCAGTTAAGCATACAGTGAAAGCACTGCATGCTAGACACTTGAGATATCTCAAGTGTCCGGTCCTTTCACAGGTGCTGCTGAGCAGCTGGCAACTCATAGCCATGGACACATGCTTGTGGGTGACTTATTATTATTCTACACATCCCAGGTTCTGAGTGGGTGGCTGTGTGGGGACACCATTCCTGCTGGTGGCAGGCTTCCCTGCCTTTCAAGACCAAGGCCACTGACCTGGCGAGAGGCCTATAAGCATCCCCAAAGTGTCTGAAGCATGTCACCAGCCATTCCTGTGTGTGGAGCTGGGAACACGCCCTTTGTGGACAGAAAGGATCCACCTGCAACGGCAACCTCCATGCCTCCTTCCACATGCCAGGACTTAGGGTTGTGACATTCTGACATATTTCTCCCTGTCTTCCACTTAGAAAATCGGATTTCTCATTATACAGAAGGAACATGTGATTAATGGCAAGCTTCAAGAACCTGCAGTTCTTTGATAATTGCTTTAAAAAAAATGTATAGCCTTCTTCAGAACATAGTTGATACGAGGCAGTTTGGAAAGAATTTCTGGTGCGTCAAGGCAAAAAGGTCATTACCTGCAAGTGTCATACCTGTGTCCTTACATCAGATGTGTGTTTTTCCATTGCCCCTGCAGGAATGCTGAAATACCTCATGGCTGCTGGAGTGCTCTGCATTTTTCTGCCTAATGAAACACAATAAACTCTCTGCTAGGATCCCTAACAAAAACAGAAGGTGCAGAGAGACGGGGAAATGCTTTTACTCATTCAGCTGTCATAGATGCATGTTGGGCAGGCGAGAACATTGCTCCTGTTTTGGGTGATGCTTTTGGTTTTGGGGAAATGGAGTTAGTTCTCAATGAGTCATCTGGGGACCTTGTTAAAGTGCAGGTGCTGATTCTGTGGGTCTGGGTGGGGCTTGAGCTCTGCAGCTCTAACAAGCTCCCAGGTGATGGTGGTGCTTCAGTAACAAGGAGTTAGAGGATTATTCTCACCACTTATGGGAGAGGAACAAGAGAAGCCCACAGAGGAAAAGCTGTGGCCATGAAATCATATGCACAGTAACAATGACGTGTGTACCAGTCACAGTGCATCATTTGCAGCAAGGGGAGAGTGAGATGTCAGACTGGATTCATTGGCCCACACGGAGCAGCTTTTCTTCATCGTCCACTAACCTAGCCATGCTTTGGAAAGTTGCCTCCTGATCCTTGTCTGACAGTGCATAGTGTGGATTAGTGTGGGTTAGTGTGTGGTATCAGACATCCCAAAGGGGGTCTGTGGGGACAGAGTTTGGAGTTGTAGATATTTTCATACTACTAGTATCACAGAGTTAAAAAGAAAGGTAGTGAAGTGCAATGCTTACTGTACCAGTTTCATGTACTGTTGATGTGAAGGCATGATGCTACACATTATCTCTGTGACTTTGTTTAAAAGTTACCTGAGTAGTCAAGTGCTTAATTTCCTCATTTGATACCAGCCTGTGCTAAGCTGCAGAACTGAACTTACCCTGCCTGACGCCGACTTCAGGTTTCCATGGCAAAACTGCGTGTGTTTAGTAAGTGAAAGCTAGAACTTGCAGCTGGTAGTCTTTGCTAAAGAGACTCTGGTCTTTTTATTATTATTAGAGTGAATGCTTGAGCCCCACTAGGAAGTAATCTTTGAAGGGAACCCGACTGTGCATTGAAAAGAACATCAAGTCAATGGCCAGAAGAGGGCTGTTTAATCCTGTTTTGTTAATTAAATGGAAAAAAAGTTTTTTATACACTGTTTTCAGGAGGTCAGGTTTCTCCCTTGCTCACCAAGAGCTGGGATGATGATGCTTGTTTGTGGTAGAGCGGGTATGGAAGTTCTGATCACTTTATTATTTGTTTCCCACAGATGAGCCAATGTAGATACTGTCTGGCATGGTGCCCTGTCCTTGTTAGGGCAGATTCTGTCCTCATGGCCAAGTCCGTAGCCTGTCTGTTCTCCCCTCTAATCTGCTCCCCTTCTCACTCCCTTTCCACCTGCGGCCTCTGCGCTCCTCCCCCGACAGTCAGCAGATGGGCGATGGGCTGTAGCAACTGTCTACCAACCGTCTGCCAATACAGAGGCAGGAAAAATGTTTTCTCCTGAGAGTCTTAAAAAATAAAATAAAGATTCATTTTAAATACACTTTTAAAAAAAGCAAGTAAGCTTTAGGGAATGCTACATGTTGTAGAAGAGGAATAGCAAACTAATTTGTATGCTCTAGGGGGAAAAAATACCTAAAACCCCGCTGTCTTTTGCACTACTGAAGACCTTTATTGTAAGAATTAATGTAATAGATCTCTACTGGTTGTCAGCTGGATGCTACAATTTAAGGTTTTGTGACCATCATTTTTACTCAAGGTCAAATTAAGAACACAGATTCTTGCAAACAGGAGGGATCACGGTGTCTTTCCATTCAGTAGACATTTCACAGACGGCAGACACTAGTGTTGTCTGGAGCTATGAAGATAAATTAGACACACCCTTGCTGAGGTGTCCACCTAATAGGACTAGAAGAAGGAGTGCCCCACGTACTTGTGTCTCCGTGGGCAGGAAAATTCCTGTGTGGAGGAGGGGCTTCAGTGAGATCATCACAACAAGATCTGAGTCTGCTTTACTGTTTGGGTTTTGTCTTGTTCAAAAGGAGGGATGGTGCAGGTGGGTGGGAATGAGCAGATGGATGTTCCCAGTTCCCTGCGCAGAGACTGAGAGGGTCCCCTAGTACAGTATCCGAGACAGAAGGAACGGCAACATATGGGCCAAGGGAATTCACGCTACAAGAAGCTCAGTGACATCTAGAGAGCAGAACGAGGAATAATGTGTGATGCAAACACTCTACCCCCATACAGTGTTTTCTAGTTTGTGGGCTTGGCAACTCTGAATTACCACGTTCCTTTGCCTCTGGCTTGCTCTGTGACCTTTACCAGTGATCTCACTCCCTTCCCAGTCTGATCCTCAGCTAATCCTGCTGTGAAAACGAGGATCTCAACACTGACATAATATGTAGGACTCTGACACACATGTAGGGCTCTCGTGGCGACCAGCAAATAAAAACCGATTTTACAGTTCTTGGTTGATCAAGAAGTGCACTGGCCCTGGTACACCTGTGGCTCCACCAGGCCATGGCACAGGACGCTCACGTCTCTCTTGTCCCTTCTGTGTTCCAGGAATAGAGCTGTGTCCACCCGGAAAACGGTTCATGATCACAATGGTGGCGAGCTTCGTGGCCATGGCGGGGCAGTTCCTCATGCCTGGGCTGGCTGCCCTGTGCCGGGACTGGCAGGTCTTGCAGGCCCTCATCATCTGCCCCTTCCTGCTCATGCTGCTCTACTGGTCGTGAGTATCCTCCCCAAAGGCTCTGTCACCCGACACCTCTGCCTGTGCATCTACAGGCCATGCGCCCCCACCCCCTGGGAGGAGACAGATGAAGCATGTGTCTTGGACCCCACCATCCCCAAACTTCCCCCTAATCCAGCTTGTGTTTTGTGAGGGAATGTTCCTCTCTTTCTTTTTCAATTTCATTTTTTAAATGTCTTATTTTGGGAAACGTTCAAACATTTCCCAAATACACAAAATACGTAGAAGAGTGGAATGAGCCCCCAGTGCCCTTCCCCAGCGCCGATAATGTGGCCTCCATCGGTCTGGTTTCACACTTGCTTGCTCAGTTATTTTGATGTGATTCTCATGAATGGATTTGCAAAGGGAGGATCCTTGTGTTGGGAGGGGAAACAGGGAGACGTTTAAGTGTGGATGGAGTTCACTAGAAGAGAAAGGAATCTTTTACTTAATGGCAAGTTTCTGCCTAAAATATCTGGGTAACAAAAGTAAAGGGAAATAAAAAGTCAGAATATGACATCAAAAATAGTCTCATTACAACTACTTCATACGTTCAAGAACTTAACACAAAAACAAAAATCTGTTCACAGTGCTGACTATTATCACCAAGGTCTTTGGAAGTGACGGCAAGTTTCTTCCTCAAAGCCCTATTGCCTCTAAGACACTCAAAGAGAATCACCCTGTCACTCTCTGCCAGCTCAGTTCAAGGTTTCTCCAGGAACCTCTTTTTCCACCCAAAAGTATCATAAACGTAGGTGGCTTAGCTGTCTCCAGTCACTGTCCAGCTTCAGGCATCTTTTGGAGTCTGTGCCCTCAGACCGCTGCTCGCAGGTCCACTGGTGACCATTGACGTGCCCCCCTGCCCGGGGGAGGGGAAAGAACCAACTGACTTTTTGCTTTCTGGCGCCCTCTGTTTCCAAAGCGGTCTCCCAGAATCCCACACGTGCTGAGAGCCAGTGGGAGTGTCCAGCCTTCCAGCCAATAAGGGCCAATGTCACCTGTGTTTGCCATTGCCCCTCTTCCAGCCACCATGTTCAGCAAGGAGGCAAAGTCTCCAGTCACACATGTGCAGCTTAATCCCCTCCCCTATTTCTGGGGGCATGTGCCCCCACCCCATTACACTCGTTCACTTGGAACCTACCTTACAGTAAGGAGTGTGGGAGTGGGAGGGAACCCACTGACTGTAAAGCTGTAAACAAGCAAGTAGCATTCTTGCAAATAACTAGCACTCGAAGAATATGAAATACAGCAGTGGGATAGAAAGGAGGAACAGGGTGGTCAGGAAATGCCTCTCTGAAGAAGTGACATTCCAGCTGAGACCTAAATGATCAGAAAGAGGAAGTCACACGAAGTTCTTGGCATGGGAACAGCCAGGGCAAAAGCTAGCTTCCATGTGGCTTCTCCTGGAAGAGGAAGCAGGAAGTCACTGTGGTTGGAACATGAGGGAAAAGGTGGGGGGCAAAAGGCAAGCTCAGACACAGATGGATCAGATCACATGGGGCCTGGATCCCAACAGGTTTATTCTAAAAGCATGAAGATACATTGGCGGTTCTGTCTGCTGCGTAGCAAACGGTCGCAGGGTGGGTGAGAGTTGGGGCAGGGTGGGGGTGGGCAGGGTGGTCACTGGCAGAGGTCTGATCCCACGTACATTCTGTAGAGGCTCTGTGAAGGCTTACCAGTGCATCTGCAGTGGCACATGAGAATAAGAGACGCAATAACTCAGGTTTGGACGGTTTGCGGAGATGGAGCTCTGAAGGCCCCTGAAACATGGAGGCCCCCCTAGGAAGTGGAGCGTGAAGTCCTGTCCTGAGAGTAGAGTTGGAAGGGTGACAGAAATGAGATCGCTGGCTAAGGGAGAGCTTTGAAAAGGGAGGTGTTTGATCTTGGGGGGCCACGGGGAATCACTGTGAAGAGCTCAGAGATTTGATCGAAACCACAGCCTGTTTTAACTTACAGGATCTGGTAGTATCCAGGTATGGTGAGGCCAACAAAGCAGGAGACGGCAACATTGAGGAGATAGTTTGTTACTCACTTCCCAAGAGGAGCGTGTACCCTGTCATGGGGGCCACACAGAAGGGGAAAATGCAGGCAGCAGCCTTCACTGTGGTTTCCTCAGGGAAGGAGCAGGTGAAGCAGGGTAAGAAGGCTTAAGATCGGCTAGTTTGGATAATTTCTCTGGCTCCGGAGCACAGGGGCTGTCTTCTAGTTGTCTGGTACCTGGTCCCCGAGTGGCTGGGGCAGGGGAATAGTGGTCAGAGTGTGAGAGCCCCATCGAGGAGGTGGTGGGAGTATGGGGTCTGGATGGGTTGGTTCGTGCTTGAAAAGTGCACTTGCAAGTTAGTTGTTTGCTATATCTAGGAATTGGCTGACCCTGGAAGGGGCACTCCTCCCTCCCAGAAAAAAACAGGAAGTGAAAAGGCATGATTAATGTGTATCCCTGCAGCAGCTACAGGGTTACAGGATGCTCTGAAAGGATATGAATCTGGGGCTGGAAAAGCCAGCCAGAAAGAGGTGGCAGCAGCAGAGGTCTGATGTTCCCTGAGGACTGGAGGGGAGTTTGGGCTGCGGGTGTGGAGAGCACACCTGAATTCAGGTGATAGGAGGACATGATGCCCCAGCAAGTGGGGCTGAGCTGGGAGGCTGACGGCATTGCACGAGCTGCCCAGGGACGCTCCTACCTTTCGGGTCCAGGCAGGACCAGCTGCTGTTTTCCTCCAGCTAAGGGCTGGAGGTAAAGGAAGAGTTTCAGAAGCTGACTGGCCCAAGAGAACAGAAGGATGTGTTTCTTGGATGTTGGTACCTCAGCATGCTTTGCAGAGTCTAATTTAGGCATGTCGTCGTGAAGCACAAGCAGAAAGAGTGTACTTGTGCCTATTCTCTTCCTGAATGTAAGTGCTGTCAGGGGTAGTGGGTGATGCCACTGATGGGTGCCCTGGCCTGAGACCCTGGCAGCCTTTGACCTCAGGACGCTGGGGCCGGATAAAATGCTCACTTCATCATTTTGCCTTGGAATTTGTTATCACTTAAGAAAGAGCAGCAGAACTTCAGTGCTAATCTAGAAGGAAGTCATACTGGCCAGTTCTTTTTCTGGAATAAATGTGGCATTCTTCTGGGTCCCAGAAAACAAATTGAGGGCGGGTGGAGGAGAATACAAGGTGAAGGGAGAATCTAAGAGAAATTCTGATTTGATATGCTGCGAGCTGGCAGGTGATGACGGAATGGGAGAGGGGGCTGATGGGAAGCTGCCTTCTCATTGTACAAATTGTACAAAAGGTGTCCCCGGGTGGCCGCAGCCTGCTCCAGGACACGTGGCTTGGTGACACTCCTCCCTGCCCAGGAGCTCTCATGCAAGACACAGCCTAGGTCCCTGCATTCGGGGGTCCAGGTCCATGTTGTTAGAACATCTAGGAGAACTGTGGGGTGGAAAATCAGGAAGGTAATACCTGAAACTGGTGGAGAGGGCTGCCCACATGGTATCTAGAGAAAGATTTTTTGGTAGAAACAACAGAAAGTAGGAATTCCAAAGGATGATGAAAAAGTTAGTGCCTCTTGCCCAAAATGTTAGTGCTCACCATGACCATACTTAACATGTAAATTAAGGAAGCTGAGTACATGTGATCCTTTGTGAAAACAAATATGTGCACCTCTGCTCTGGACCCAGCACGTGCTGGGGGACAGTTGTGAGGTCCGTTCAGTTAGGTCCCCAGTGAGAGCTCTCATCACAACATGAAAGCATCCACCCTCCTTCAGGCAGTGTTTGCTGGGTGTCGGGGCCAGCGTAAACATGGCAGATGCTGTCTTGCCTCATGGAGCATCTTGGCAAGGCGCTGATGCACTGTACTGGAGGCTGATGTGAACATGTCTAGGGACACACTTTTCCCAAGATGAACTGCAAGGTGCCGTGTGTGAATCTCTATTAACCAAATATTCTTGGGTTAGGTAGGAACAGGTGGTTAGTGGGATTATTCTGGTTTTTAGCAGAGGAAACGAGGACACCAAAAAGCTCCCCAAAACACTCAGAAATGTGGGAGAGTCACTGAAAACTGGTTTTTGAAAGTCAGTGGTTCTCAGAGTGCAACCTCTGTATCAGCATCATCTTCACCACCCAGGAACTTGTTAGAAACACAAGTCAGAGCATCTGGGCATGGGGCCTAGTGGTCCATGGTTTAAGACCCCCACCCCCAGGGGATGTTGATCACTACTCAAGTTCAAGAGGTGCTATCTTTAACCCCTATGCATATACCTGAAACTAATACAAAATAATATTGAATGGAAACTGTAATTGAAAAAATTTAATATTTTATCTTAAATTTCCACTGCTATTTATTATTCTTTTTAAAATTTTTAAAATTTATTTTATTTTTTAATGACAGTTTTTATTCTAAGGGGACATAATAAAAAGATATAAGTCCTCAAAAATAAACTAAAAACAAATTTTAATAAAAGAAGGGGTGTCCTATGCCAGGCCACCCATCATAGAAGAAAAGGGCAGATGCCCTGCATGTGGAAAAGGGACCTGGCACACTTTGAAGAAAGATGTTGTTAAGGAGGCATGAAAAGAGAGCGGAGTCAGCTGTGGAACACATACTTCTGGTAAGAAGAGGTTTCTTGGTTCTGTAGGAAGATGAAATAGATGCCATCCTTGAAGGTCAAGGTGATACCATGCAGGGCCTGGTGTGTAGTTCAGTTCCACTGCAGAGAACAAAGCTCTCTTGATCATCCCAGTCAGCAGAAGTCACAGAAACTCCTGGACTGATGTAAGAAAGCACAAAAATCTCAGCACTGCATTTGCTATTTTATCTGTTGTATGGGAACATAAACCTGTATGCATGTATTTTGGACCCTTAAATCATGGCCCATGACCTTGCTTACCTGTCCTCTGCCCAGGCAGGAGTGGGGCTCCTTTGGGCAGTTGTCACTCTCAATGTGCCCCTCCACCCCTGCAGGGGAGTGTTGAGTGCGGTTTTCCTTCACACACCCCAGGACTGTTAACGAAGGAC